CAATCAAATGCTGCATCGACAAGAAGCAGGTGGGTGGAAAGATCTTCTCTAATTTACAGAGCAACACGGGTGCCGCTTTTTCCAAGTCATCAATGATGGTCCGAGAGAGCTCCTTGGCACAAAGCTGGCGGAAGAAGTAGCTCAACTCTGCCAGCACTTGCCAGACATGCTCCGGGACATAGCCTCAAACCATCACCGGAAGAAGCCGCTCAATCCATATGTGGTAGTCATGACTCTTCATCCCGTTGACTCGCAGAGTGCCTAAGTTAACTCCCCTCTTTAGATTCGCTGCATACCCATCAGGGAACATTAGCTTCTTGATCCATTCAAGTACTTCCCTCCTTTGGTCCTTTTTCAAGACGAAATCAGCCTTAGGCCTTCTCCAGGTCTTGCCATGACTAGGAGGTTGCATCTCTTGATTTGGTCTATCGCACAACGTTTCTAGGTCTACTCTAGCCTTTAGGTTGTCCTTAGACTTTTCAAGTGTCCATGAGTGTTGCCCAAAGTGCCTCGGCGACATTCTTTTCAGTGTGCATTACATCAATGTTATGTGGTAGAAGAAGGTCATCGAAATAGGGGAGCCTCGTCATGCCTAAGATATGAGTCCACATATGTTGCTCACCATATCCCACAAAACCACCTTCTTCATTGGGCACGAGAGCACCTATCTGAGCATGAACCTTGGCACCATTCATCATCCGCGGTGCAGGGTTTGTCACTTTGACGCCTTTCGTAAAGTTCTTGATGTCTTGTCTGAATGGATGGTCAAGAGGTAGGAATTGACGATGTCTATCAAATGACGAATACTTGCCACCCTTCTACAACCAAATAAACCTCACACCTTCCTTGCATATTGGATATGGGAACTTTCCGTGAACACACCAGGCCCAGAATATCCCATACGTCAGGAAGTCATGCAGGGAGTAGTGGTACCAAACGTGCATTTTGAAGGTTGTCTTTGTAGCTCGATCGTATGTCCATACCCCTTCATCCCAAGCATGGACCAATTCATCAAACACAGGCTCCATGAACACACCCATATTACTCCCTGGGTGTCCAGGAATTATCAACGACAAGAATACGTTATGTCGTTGAAAGGAGACACCGGGGGGAGATTAAGGGGGATAACAACGACGGGCCAACATGTGTATGGGGCAGCCATCATTCCATAAGGATTGAACCCATCTATTGCCAAAGCGACACGTACATTACGAGCCTCATCTGCTTTGTCACGATGTTTGTCATTAAAGCGGATCCAAGCTTCACCATCGGATGGATGTACCATCTTGTTAGGATTGTACCGTTTGCCATTTTTGTGCCATGTCATCTGTTTCGCGGATTCCTCAGTCATGTATAGCCGTTGGATCCTCGGTAGGAACAGAAGGTACCGTAGGATTTTCATGGGGATCGTAAGTTGCCTCTTCTGGCCATCATTAGAGTCTACCTCTATGTACCTGGAGGATTTACACTTTGGACAGAACTTTGCATGCTCATGTTCTTTCCTAAATAGGAGGCACCCTTTCGGACAAGCATGTATCTGCTCATACGGCATCTTAAGTGCTCGAAGGAGTTTCTGTGACTCGTACATGCTCTTCGACAGAATGTGGCCCTCCGGAAGCAAGGTGCCAATCACGGCCAACATCTTATCGAAGCCCGGTCGACTTAAGTTTAACTCGGACTTCAACCCCATTAAGCGTCCAATGGTATCCAGTTGAGACACCGTTGACCGATCGTGAAGGGGTTTCTGTGCCGAGTCCATCATATCATAGAACGCCTGTGCGGCTACTTTCATCTCCTCCTTCTCACGTCCCTCATCGAACTGTCCTTGGTGAAAGTCATCTAACATGTCTGCTACCCCAGCATCAGCATCAAAAGCCTCCACCCGTGGTCTCACCACCTCCTCTCTCATACGATGGGCTTCACCATGGTGGACCCACCGGGTGTAGTCCGGCGTAAATCCATTCTTCACAAGATGTTTACCCATTTCCACCTTGTTTACCCTTCTCCTGTTTCCACATTTGCTGCAGGGACACAAAACTAGGCAATGTCCTTTAGCAGCGTTGCCAAATGCACTGTTCAAGAAAGCATCGGTCTTGTTCATCCATTCCGTGGTGTAATCACTCTGACTTCTCCAGCCCATGTACATCCACTGACGGTCATCCATCCTCTAACATATGTATCGACGAGTAATGTAACCATCAATTGCATCTACATGGTGTTCCTACTGTCTAATAGGTGAGGATAGGTCCTAATCCCACCCGCAGATGCGTAGATGAGGTTAGTTTCCATGCTCTACTCCTATCCGAGACAGAATTTTGGTAGCACCTCCCTACTGTTCTCCAGATACACGTCCTGTCAAAGAAGAGTGTGTATCCGGAGAACAACAGGGAGGTGATGCCGAAACTCTATCTCGGACTAGAGCAGAACATGGAAACTAACCCATCTACGCATCCGCGGGCTGTCCAAAAAGCGTGGACAATCCGAAATAGATACGGTCATAGATATGCAAAGATCTGCATACCTCCAACCGTATCTCTTTCGAACGAGAGACGCCTAACTGGGTTACACGATCTACGACAATGATACGAAAAGAGGGGTTATACCTAGGGTGGCGACGGAGTCAGGCTAGCGGGGCCGTGGCGGGTCGGTGCAGTGGCGAGACGACACGGTGCAGGTAGATCGACACGGTGGCGAGAACTCTGACTCAACTCTGATGGGCTCTTCTCTACAAAAATGGAACAAAATACTATCATTTACAAAAAAATTCGGCAGAACCTCCCCTGCACGGTGAGGTTTCCAAAACTTGCAAAAAACAACGGCACGATGGCCGACAAGCACATATGGCTCAACAGAAGCCATGTAGTTTGGATATCAATCCATGCAGAAGAATATATCCAAGTAGTACCACTACTTGTACTACTACTTTCACTATTGCTACTACTACTACCATTGGTTCTTCTACTACTACCACTATTGCTACAACTACTACCATTAGTTGTACTACTACTACTACCACTACTTTTACTACTACTACCACTAATTCTACTACTAATACTACCACTAGTTGTACTAATACTACCACTAGTACAACTAATACTACTACAACTACCACTACCTCGACAATAATAAGTGAGAAGGCATACCTGACGGGCGACGGGGTAGCGGCGGGCGGCGTCGGGATCGGGCGGAGTCGGGGATGGGGTCGAGCACGGATGGCGTCGGGGCGGGTGGTCCACGGGCGCGCGAGAGGCGAGGCAAGGCCGGAAAATGGCGCGCGCTGTATGAGGGGTCGGTCGGGGTCGGGCATAGCGCGGGAAGGAGGGCTAGCCGGGCACGGGCCATGCTTTGGCTGGCGCCACAGGACGATGGCGGCGCTGGGTGGGGAAGGGCCGGCCGGGGGCATGGCGAGGCCGGTGGCCAGGCATGTGGGCAGCGAGGGCAAGGTGGGCGCTGGCGGCGTGTAGGGGTGTGGGGGTAAGCCTGTGTGCAGCGGGCGGCAAGCGCGGCGCGGGGGCGGCGGTGTGGTGTGTGTGAGGCGAGGCGGGCGGGCAGGCGTGGGTGGGTGGTCGTAGGATCGCTGGCCATCAAAACCGCTAAAGTCCAGCGGCTTTGCCGAAAAGCCGGATCGAGGAGGCACTCGGCAAAGATTTGTTTTTTTGTTTTTAATTTCTTGCGAGTGCCCCAGATCTGCACTCGCAAAAAAGATTTAATTTTTTTTTAAAAATTCTTTGCCGAGCGCCTCGGATCTGGCTCGGCAAAAAAAAAAAATTTATTTTAAAATACTTTGCCGAGTGTGCCTCGGATCGGCACTTCGGCAAAGATTTAATTTTTTTTTATTATTTCTTTGCCGAGTGCTCCTATGGATGCACTCGGCAAAGAGGAAATTTTAAAAAAAAATTTAAAACATTCTTTGCCGAGTGCCTGATGGCTGGCACTCGGCAAAGACACCCTTTGCCGAGTGCCATGCCCCGGCACTCGGCAAAGTTTTTTTTTTTTTTTTGGCCTCCAATTTTTTTGTGCAGCCCTTTTAAAGCACCAGGAACTTCTAGTTACAATTTGGGGATTTTTTGTGGCTTTTTGTTATATTTAGTTACTTTATTTCGTTTACTTGAATTTTTCCGGAAATTAGAAATTTGAACTGCACGTGGTACGAATAATGGAGTTTAATGATTCGAAAATTGATAGTCATGTTAGTGAGTGTTGTGAGAGGCCGTATCCAGGAACGGACCCGAAATTTCGGACATCTTGTTCACGAAACATGTCCGCGAATTTGCGTGTGAAGTGTTTATAAATTCTATAAAAAGCAAACGAAGTCCGAAAATCATGAAACTTGTTGAGATGTCGTGATATCATATGTGGAGGCTATGATAAAAATTTCAGAAGATGTTGTGCACGTTGTCACGTACGATGCTTATAAACCAGGACATCTCCACATGTGATATCAGATACTCGGCAAAGAAGTCCTTTGCCGAGTGCCCGTGTTTGCCGAGTTGCCGGCACTCGGCAAAGAAATCTTTGCCGAGTGCAATTCTTTGCCGAGTGCAGCTATCGGCAAAGAAGGTCTTTGCCGAGTGCCCAATTTTTGACACTCGGCAAAGAATTTTGCACTTGGCAAAGTCTCTTGTTTCCAGTAGTGGTAACAGCCAGGCTGGGTTTTTACATAGATTCCATATGCCATACAGTAGTAGCTGAAGCATTGTAGACGTCTACCACGCTGCCAGTAAGCCACGAGCCGGTCGCCACTCTCGCTGGCCACGGCTCGGCCAGCCAGAGCCCCGACCAGCCGTGCTAGAACTAGCTGCCGCAGGCTGGCCCCAACCAGCCACAGCCCAGCCAGGGGCCTTGCTCGACCAAAAGAAGCCCCGCCGTGCCCTGCTCGTGTTCGCTGCCCCCAGATGTGGGGGTCGCGCAAGGAGCTGAGTGGGAGCAGTAGGGCAGCTGCAGGTCTGCCGCACAGGGTGGAGGGGGTAGCGCCATGCCGCATCTGCCGCATCCGCCGCTCAGGGCTGCTGCAGGAGCAGGCCCGTGACGCAGCAGACGCTGCGACGACGAGCAGGAGCCCCACGGCGAGGAACCGGCGGACGGCGCTCCTTGGGACACCCAGTGGCCAAGGTGTACCTGCACCCGAGCCCCTCCCTGGCCAGCAGCCGCAGCTTGCGCACGGAGCTGCGGACCAGGACGTTGTACGACGCGCGCACGCACCGCCACCCCCGTGGAGCCACAGCCGGCTGGGAGTCGCGTTGCCGGGCCGCACACCATAGATCCAGTCCCCAAAAGCACGGATCTGGCCCATAGAAGCAGGGATCTGGCCGGAGAAAGAACAGGTCGATAAAAATTTGTAGTTGGAAAGAAGAGATGTGGTGGAGGAAGGAGAAGAAGCACGCGGGTGGCTGCTTTGTTGGGCGCCGCCTGCTGTCCGCCGCCGCTACGGCCACTGTTGCCGGGGAGTCGCAGCGGCATCGGCTGAGCTGGCCGGGAGAGGCGCTGTGCCGACGGGGGAGGCGTCGCCCCTCAAGTCGCCGAGAGAGACGACGCGAGGGGACTCCTTCCGACCTCTTGTAAGGGGGAAACAACGCCATGGTGGTATCCATTCATCCGGCCTCTAGTTGGTCCGGCCTCTAGTACCCTATTCTATTTGGTCCTTTGATTTCTTTTCTGAAACGATTTGTCACATATATAACATTTTTTTAGAAAGAAAACTATTTACCTTTGGTGACGCTGTAGAGCACTTCCTGTTGGAAGGCCACGAAGCTCGCGATGGAGGAGATGTGGACGACACTTCCCCCGCCGGCGACGGAGGCATTCCGGAGGAGCGGATGCCCGAGCTGGCTGAGGTGGAAACACGACTCCAGGTTGGTCGCCATGATCCGTGAGTAGTCCTCCGCCGTGTACTCCGCCGGTGGCTTGAGCATCAGCAGCGCCGCGTTGTTCACCTGTACGTACGTGCACAGATGGACTACGCCGTCAAGCTGACAGCTATTGATGAATGCTTTCGCTTCACCTTCAGCTTACCAGGATATCGAGCTTGCCGTCGAAGGTCGCCTTGACCGTGTCCATGAGCTTCTCCCGGCCGGTGCGCACGGCGACGTCGCAGACCGAGACGGTGACGCGGAGCCCCTTCTCGGCCCACCGCCGGCGGCACTCCTCCAGGTCCGCCGCGCTGCGGGCGCACGTGCGCACCCGTGCGCCGAACCCGGCCAGCTCCTCCACGATGGCGTGTCCGATCCCCTTGCTACGTCCAGTGACCAGCGCTGTGGCGCCGGCCAGGCTCCACCTCTCGCCGCCGGCCGCCGCTGCCATCCTCTGTTTTTGTGTATCTTGTGTGTTCAACTTCAACTTGTACTATAATGGTGCGATGCCAGTACCTTTTAATGAAATACGGGCCACCATAATGTTCTTGTTCGACAAAAAAAAATTGTCCCACCATGTGCTTGTTCAGTTGTTCGAGAAAAAAAAAACTGTCTAGCCAACAGCCGGTTGTTTTAGACCCTTTTAACAACCAGATTTTTTTCCATACACTTACACTGTCTTATAGCTATATTTACATCACCTTATTACTATATTTATAATGATTTATTCAGTGTAATTTATTGGATAGAGTGATGTAATTTGGATATAACACAACTTTTGTTTCTATGGATTGTAGATCTCATACCAAAACTTTCAGAAAAAATTACAAATTATTTCTATGAATTACAGATATCAGAGAATATATGTCAAATTATTCACAAATTGTTCATAAATTTCAGAGCAAATAACAGATTGTCCACAAATTGCAGTGGGATCCATCAATTGTTGCATGCGCTCATGAGGCCTACGGCCGGCGGGGACCACCTGCATGTGATGCTGCAGCCGCATGCCTGCGCTCGACGCTGCTCCCTCTGACCACATGAGAGAGAGGTAAGGCCCACGCCCTGGCTGACCAAAGGCAGTGGACAGGAGAAGCTGCATGCGCCCGTGTCCCGCCCGCCTGAACCAACCGATCCCGATCGGAAGGCCCAAAAACCGGTTGTTGGTAGCTCCCAAAACAACCGGTTATTGGGTAGCAAATCTGAAAAAAAATGTTCCACCATGTGCTTGTTCTAGAAACAAAATGCTGCGATGCCAGTGACAAATAGTATAATGCTGTTGAGTTGATTCCAATACACTACAGGTGTACTAACAATTTGAGCCTATTTTGTCATTGCAAATGACAAAAAAGAGACCTGCCGCCTGAAATATTGCTTCTTTTCAGGCAAGAGTTAACAGACCGAATCTCGTCATCATTTGTCAGGACTTTTCGGAGTAAGTTTTTGGCTGGTTCACATCCGAACTCGATAAAAACACAACACAGATACCAGCCACCGATGGACACAACGTCGCCTGAACTGAACACAAAAACGATGCGACTGATGAATAGGAATTGTGGACAAATAATTTGAGCCCCACTAAACACCGACTGATACTAGTATACTATAATGGTGTTGAGTTGATCTTGTCTGCTCAACATTTTTTTGACAACAACACATATATTATAACGATTAGAACAGTATACAAAGTTTTGGGATTGTACATCCCAAAGAAGAGAGGTGTAGCTCGCTAGCTACTAGAAAAGAGTCAGCAGAATGACTCCCCATAAGAAAGCCTATCATCTTGGGCATCTGTCTCTCAAGAACATGATCTATCTTCCTGCCGGAGAAAACACAGGTGGTGATGACCCCATCGGGGACGCCGGACCATGACGTAGACATGGCCACGACGGAGACATCGGGGATCCTCGTTAGTGCACTCCGATAGCACAGTTGGCGCATCACTCGACTGTCTGATTGGCCTGTAACTGCGAGGATTAGAGATCTTGAGTCGTAGATCTTGTTTGAGCTTCACCGGACTCAAGAGGTTGACGCTACTTCTCCTAATATTAAATCTGAGGACCTGCATCGATAAGAACAGGCGGTCTACCGGAACACCAGAAGTAATTTTGCCACTTCCGTATTTCCATCCAGCTGAAAAGCAGAAACCTGAATAATAGAGAACAGTACCAAATGGCAGGGCAAGTGGAAGGGCCAACGCCAACTCGCTGCAAAGAATAGTAGCACGTCTTGCACGTGGCTTTTGTGGCCCCAAAATGGAGAGGTTGGGTGATGTCCACGATAGCACAGAGCAGAGCTCCACGCCACCACAGACGCGAGGCGCTTCACGCAGCACAGCCCCCACGCACGTCTCCCCAGGAGGACGCCTACTCCTCTGTCCCTTATTGGCCTCATTCAGCTTGCTAAAACTTAGCTGAAACTGGCTGAAAAATACTGTTATGGCTGAATTGTTGTGAGAGTAAAATACTGTTCCGGCTAAAAAAAGAAACCGAACAAGCCGGCTTCTGGGTAAGCCGAACGAGGCCAATATCTGTCGTTTCCGGTTTTCGTGCCACAAGTTTGACTAAATATATAGAAAATACGTGCAATATTTGTATCTCTAAATAAATTTATACTGGGAACCTAGGCTAGCACACTACTGCAAGATGCCAGTTCTGCATATGATTTACTAACGGGGCCAATAGTCGTTCAGTAGGTTACATATATGGACGACCATGTCACAGGTCTTTTGAGGCACGAGAGAGTGCAATCATAAGAGCATTGGTCTTTATCGATGGCTGTGGTTACAGAATCTATGATATCAATTACCATGCTTGGATGCAAATGTATGGTGTCGCCCATCCACCCCCGAATTAGTGTTTGTTTAGGTTTAATTTGCAAGGTTTAAGTTTAATTCAGCTTGTGTTTGTCATGTAATTCATGTGCTGTGGAATAAGAACTCCAAATTCCATTGCCGTATTGGTCTCAATCTTTTTCTCAGGCTTGCACATGCCACGGGTGAATGAATACCAAATGTGAGATTTTTCTGAGATGGTTTGGTACTTTCTCCGATTTAATTGAATTTCCGTGCGACGTCACCGATTAATTAGAGGTTGAACTGAGTCTATCCCAAAATGATCCGGAATGGTGCCACTTTTCCACAGGGTCTTATGTGCCCTGGGGACCAATTTTTGGTCGAGGTGGATGCAAACCTTCTAGTGTGCCCAACATGTAATTGGCCCTCTTTTGTCGTGTTTAGTACAAAGAAAAATATAATAATAAAGAAAATGATTAGAAAACCTAAGATCTTGTGTGGAGCCATAGTTTGTGTGTACATGCTTAAAAAAATTTAAAGCCATTTGGACATAGGCGGTACATACCTGCTTCATAGACCTATAGAAGTTGTCTCATGTTACAATGACTAAACACCTAGGTTTCCAAGGTTTGTGTGGTTCATATGCATTTCGGTGTCGTATTGGTCTCAAAGTTTTTCTTAAGCTTGCACGTGCCACGGGTGAATGAAACACCAAGTTTAGGATTTTTCTGAGATGGTTTGGTACTTTCTCCGATTTAATTGAATTCCCACGCGATGTCACCGATTAATTAGAGGTTGAACTGAGCCTACCCAAAAAGATCTGGAATGGTGCCAAACTTTTCCACCGGTCTTCTATGCCCTAGGGACCAAGTTTTGGTCGAGGTGGATGCAAAATTCGAGCAGCCCAACATGTAATTGGCCCTCTTTTGTCCCGTTTAGCACAAAGAAAAATATAATAATAAAGAAAATGATTAGAAAAACGTAAGATCATGTGGGGCCATAATTTGGCTGTAGATGCTTGCAAAAACAATTTGAAGCCATTTGAACATAGGCGGTACATACCTGCTTCACAAACCTATAGAAGCCGTCTCATGTTACAATGACTAAACACATAGGTTCCTAAGGTTTCTATGGTTCATATGCATTCCGATGTTATATTAGTCTCAAACTTTTTCTCAGGCTTGCACGTGCCATGGGTGAAGGAACCACCAGGTTTGGAATTTTTCTGAGATGGTTTGGTACTTTCTGCTGTTTAATTCAATTTCCACACGACATCACCGATTAATTAGAGGTTGAACTGAGCCTACCCAAAATGGTCTGGAATGGTGCCAAACTTTTCCATGGGGTCTTGTGTGCCCTAGGAACCAATTTTTGGTCGAGGTGGATGCAAAATTCTAGTGTGCCCAACATGTAATTGGGCCTCTTTTGTCCCGTTTAGCACAAAGAAAAATATAATAATAAAAAAAATAATAAAAAAACTAAGATCTTATGCGGGGCCATAATTTGGATGTACATGCTTGCAAAAAAATTGAATCCATTTGGACATAGGTGCAATAGAAATATAAATGCGTGAATTTATTTAGTTTAAAGAAGAAAAAAAATATATAATCATCACTATTGGCTTAAAAAAACGGACAATGATGGGCGAAATCGATAGTGATGACAACTACCACTGTTGGTTTCATTTAAAAAGAAACCGACACTAATAGATATTTTTTTTAAAAAATCAAAAATTATGCCCGTCTTGACCGAAAGGGCGGGGCGCGCTGCGATGGACACCGGCATGTCACCCCACCGACGATGAGTACCCTGGGCAAAATAGCACGACCACCGGATGAAGGAAGTCAAGACGAGCTCAGGGTTACGAGCAATTGACCTACTACCACTCCTACATGCCTTACCTCCAAACCCACTGATTCGGCGGTGCCCATGACCGGCAATGACAACAAGGCCAAATTACCGGTCAGCAGGGCATGACCGAGCTTGAGGGGAAGGATACTGCTAGCCTACTTCCTAAGCTACCCGCTAGAGCGAGGAACTGAACGGCAAAGCCGCTGGCGCTAGGCAAAATGAAGGGCGGAAAAGCAGAGCTCAAGCCATGGTCAAGCCATGGAGGAGCACACGAGTGAGCACGAGGGGATTAAGACGGGCGGCTCCGATCGATAGCTGCAACACGAGCACATGCACATAGGTGGCGGGATAGTGGAGGGATTGGCGCGACGCGCTTGAAGTGGAGCGATCAACCCGAGCCGCTTTCAGACCGCAGCATCGGCTAAGCGGGGCAAGTGAGGTAGGAAGGCATCCCATCGCCATTGTGAGCGGGCCATCGACCGACATGAAGCAAAGATACGCCAAGGGCATGACATGGTAGGTGATACGAGGGTGAGGCGGACGCCACGTCGACCGGCGATGCACGCAGCCGCAACCATGGCGTAAAGGCGGAAAGGCGGTAAGCGGGCGATTACCACGGCGACCAGCAGCAAAGGGCGATGACAAATGACCCGCCAGGCCGTCACGGTCACCCACGGCCAGATAGGCTGACCGGGCTCGGCATCGCGGCACGCGGAACGCGGCCAGCCGCACGACGCCGAGTGGTTGCGCGAGGTGACCACGCGCATGGATCTCAAAAACCCAATTTTAAACAAAGAAGGCCATCC